CACAAAGGATCAAGGTGACCTAAGCTTGCTTCAAGCTAAGTCCAAAGAAGAATGGTGTCCTAGCTCTACAAGGAGAAGCTCTCAAGTAGGGTAGAAGCTAGGAGTAAGGTGACTTCGGAGAAGGAGAATTCTATGTAAGAAATACTCATTCAATATAATCCAAAGTGGCTTACAAGTCTCGGCCATAGAGATCTACAACACAACCAAAGAACCTAGATTGGATTTATCCTAAGGTAATTGATTTGTAACCTCAATATGCCTAAAATATTTTTTTATTAAATTAAAAATTACTTATACAACTCAATCTAATTTTCATTTTAGAGTAATCAACAACAAGGAGGTTACGAATGTGGATATTATGTGATGAATTGGATGTTAGACATAATTGAAGGGGAAGTAACAAATGATTGGATTGAGGTAATGTAATTTTTTTACTTTTACTATCATTAATTAATTTATTTACATGATTTTTATGTAACTAATATATTATATTGTATGTTACAGCTTTTTGATGATGTTGCACCATTGCCGGAAACCAAATTGGAAGACATTCGGAGTCAATGGGCAACCTTCTTTTTAGAAAAATTTAGAAATAGAGCATGATTTTTAGTTTAATTAGGATTGTTTATAATATAACTCCAAAACAATTTTCTGCCTTTATTTTTTAATTTGGTTATCATGTTTTTCGTCAAGAGGATCTATTGCTAATTTGATTGTGATTAAGCAAATGATGATTTAACTCCAGAGCATTACCAATTTTTTCTCTATCAGCTTCTTCGAGGCTTGAAGTATATACACTCAGGTTATGATCTTTATATTTAGCTAGTTTTTTTTATTTATTTTAGTTATTTTTTTCTTTTGTTGGCAGGTTCTTCCCAGTAGCCCATGCTTATTACATTTTTCTCATTTGCTTGGCAGGTTGAGGGCTTTATGTTTATATCCTCATTCATTTTGATAATTATATTTAAATGTTGAGTGCTAAAGTTGAATTTTATTTTAGGAACTGCATTTAGTCTAGTTGTGTATGTGGTAGTTATTGTTTAGTTTCAGTGGAGTTTAGTTATTGTTTGGTGTATAATGAAATCAAATATGGTAAAGCAGATTTACGTAGTTTTATATAGTGTACCATAAGCCAAACTTTAATTGAAAGATAAGAAATATATATAGACAGCTGAAAAATTTAAACACAGGTTAGAAAGTTTTAATCACAAGCTTATATCAGAAATGAAGTTGACTCAATTGTTTTCTCATGGGTTGTTCTGACTTCTGACAGATAAACTACTTATGATCTTCAACCTACACTATAAACATTTTATATACTTAATATTTAACTGTATTAAAGTAAATGTTATTCATAATTCATTATGTATTAAATTTTATGTCACAAATATTTAACTAATGATACTGTAATTGCTGAAGAGAATTTGTTCTTGAAATGGAAAAAATAGACAGATATTTTCTGTTGATGGAAACAGAAATTTTTTCTAAAACTACTAAGTAAACCTCTCGGTTTTTAACCCTTCAATGAATGACAATTATCGTCACAATAGCATGCTAATGCAAAGTTATAGGCAAACCTTGAGAGAAACTATTTGAATCATCCTTCACAACAAATATAAGTTATTTAAGTGAGTATAATCTACATGTGTGTATTGATTTGTTTTTCTATTTCTTCTGGTTTTTGATTCATGGAATTTGGTTATGTTGGTTAGTATAGCAGATTTCTGTTTTATGAGGAAGGTTCCAAAACTGTTTGAGAGATAGAATTCATTGCATTAGTGGCTACTGGCTAGGATTTGAACATAAACATCAAAATTCAATACACAATGGCTGCAGCAATAGAATTGTCCTATCCAATTGATTGCATTTCTGGGTTTTGGTTTGGTGTTATAAATAAAATATGTTTATACAGGTAACCCACAATAGAACCGATGTAGATTTGAGTACACATCTACATCGGTTTTAATTAAAACCGATGTAGATTTTTGTTCAAATCTACATCGGTTCTAATTAAAACCGATGTAGATTTTTCGAAAATCTACATCGGTTTTAAAACCGATGTAGAAATTTTTTTATTACTACGTCGCTCTATTCTACATCGGTTATAAAACCGATGTAGATCACCTTCCAGAACCGATGTAGATTTGCATTCCTGTAGTAGTGTAGCTTGGCCGTGAGCTTTCTTTTGGTTTTTCTTGCTTGGATGCTTCCATCCTAGTCTAGGAAAACACTCTTATCTCTTCTTCTAAATCAATCTCATTCCGGAATTCATTCAAGGAGCAAAGATCCGTGATCATTGGAGAAGGAAAAGGAAGCACAACTCTTCACTTCACTTCCCTACTCCATCATTTTTGGTATCAAGAGCATGGCTAGCTTCCTTGAGGTTAAGTAGACTTTTCTACCGATTGGATTCTGGAATTTGTGTGTGCAAATTGTCATATATTGAGTCTCCTTTGTGGATCTATATTTTTTGAAAACAATTCTTGATAGATCCAAGTGTTTGATTGCAATTTGTTCAAATCCGCAATCAACAAAGTGTTAGGATTCAACTTGTGCCAATTTTGATTTTTTTTGAGTCATTTTTATTTTTTACTCTTTAATTCGGTCATTTTCAATTCCTTTGCATGTGATTCTTTTGAATTTCTGAATATAAAGTTTGTCTAAGTCATGTGATAGTCCTTTATGTTGTCATACAAAATTCAAGATGTGCTTGGTTTAATCTTGTGCTGAAAATTTTTGAGTCATTTTAAAGTTTGACCGAGACTTGTTTTTACCATATATATGTTGCTTATGTGCTTTTATTTTTGCAAATTTGAGTTCATATTCATCATTGTCGCC